GTTCTTAGTCTGTGAGGTCTGCATGGAAAACTGCTGAATTCCTTTGGAGCCGGTCTTTGAGCTCAGGGGCCGGGTGAAAGCAATCATCTTAGATCCAGCATTCTGTTCGGAGAGAATCTCACAGAAGCGATCAAGACAGGCAATGGCATTGGTATGACCACCCCTGATCTGGTCGATGCCGTCAACCACAAACATGTACTGGATGTTTGTAGCAAGACCAGCATGAATACCCTTCCAAAGGCTTGCTTCTACCGCGTCATCTCCAGCGCCATCGATCGCTCCTTGGGCTGCCCTTGCGACTTCAACCAGGATAGCCTCTTGGGTCTGCTTGTCACTGACAGAATGATCCAACATCTGGTGAAGGACACCCTTCAGGATGCGTAGAGGCAAAGTAGCGACAGGAATATCAGCACCTGTATTAGATTAGCTAGCAAATCAGCAAAAATATAAGGGTAAAACTCACGAATGGTGTAGGGGATCACATTCCAGCTATCATGTTCACCCGACTCCTGTAGTCTTTCGACCGCCCATTGGGCTAATGCACTCTTTCCCGAGCCAGGACCACCGGAAATTAGCATAACAGGTGAGCTTCCGACACTGAAATCGTAGAGCGTGTTGTTGAACCACTCAAACGATCCCTCAGCAAGCGAGTGAGCGCGAGAGTCGAGGATGAACTGAAGAGGGCGGTCCTGTACTCCCAGGAATTGACGCAAGCTACCCAGCTCAGGCGAAGAGTAAATCAAGGGACTGTCCTCCACGAGCTTTGCAGTGTGAGCATCGACAACACAATTCCAGTGGGTAGAAAAGCGCTTGGCGTAGGTCAAAAAGGCGGCATCAACGTTGCGTCCAATAATCTGATCGGACTCTTTGCTTTTAAATCCCTCGATACAGCTCATAGCCGTGCTACTGACCATTTCAAGCAAATCTGCGAATACCGCGGCAACATATGGCTGAAGTTCAGGCGAGGATTTGTATGCAATCTCGTACTGCAAAAGCAAATATATACCGACGGCGACCCGGCCATATCGGCCAAAGACGCTCTCGAAGACATCCGTATTGTCCATGTCAGACTGTACAATAGTCAGCATCCATATCTAAAAGAACTGTCACCGGTCAACTTGACTAACCTCCAAAAGGAGGACAGAGAATCCCCAGATGAGCGTTGCCGCCTCATTGGCAGCAGGCGCAAAGACTCCGACGGACTCCCGAAGAGCGTCGACGGCATACGCCAGTCTAGACGCCCATCTAAGGCTGCAGTCGAGTCTGCTACCATCATGAGGCATCCATCGGAGACGTTCAGCTGCCACGGCATCAAAGAAAGCATCTACGTTAGGGCTGCGTTTGCTGATCTCACTGGGAAACAGGCCCAGCTGAGTCTTGCACTTCTGAGACACAGCCTGAACCTTTTCTTGAAGAATAGTGAGTTTGTAGCCACAACCACTCAGCTGTGTAACAATGCGCTTCGAAGACACCCCACTTCCGGCTCTGCTCTTGGTACCGGAGCTGGCGTGGGTGACTCTATTGCTGAAACTGTCATTGCCGGAGGTAGTATAGACACCCCCCTGGCGAGTCCCTCCTCCTGCAGAAATGCTTCCTTGATTGACTCCGCTGTTGTCATTGCCGGGTATACCATAACTACTTTCTTGGTGAAGTCCTAAAACTCCTCCACCGACGATGCCTGCTTTGTTCGATCCAGTGGCGCCGGCATTGTAGAAGGCGTTGTTTGTCTGGCTCGTGGTGGTAGAACGTAGACCACTTGTTTGGTTGGATTCATTGGTGGTAGACTTTCCTGTGCTTGTCGGGGTTTTCGGAGTTAAGCCTTGATTTGATACCGCACGGGCATAAGTATAACCCCCGCTGTTCGTCTGGTTTGAGGCGGCCGCCCCTTTTCCGCTTGCACGGCCATGTTCTTCCACGGTAGAAGCAACGTTACTCTTTGAGCTTGTGGAGATAGGACCTTGGACTGTGGCTGCGTTGGTGCTAGAGCCGGAATGTCCCTTGCTCTGCTTTCTGGTGGTAGAGGTCTGTTTGGCAGCTCCTCTGCTCATACCATAATCGCCGCCGGCAGCATCGGTGGCAGCAGCTTCGCTTGTCCCTGCTTTCTCGGAAGGCTGAGAGCCCTGCTTGTCAAGCTGCTTTTTGTCGATATGATATTTTCCAACATTTTCGTCGACGAGTTTCTTTGGGAGGTCTTTGCTAGTGGTCCCATCGTTGAGGACGTCCGAGCTGATGTTCTCGTTGTCATGGACCTCTTTGTCAATAGGTTCCTTGCTAGATTCACCTCCAGCGACGGCTAATCCAGTCATTTTTTGGCTTCCTGCTCCCGCGGAATCATAAGAAAAGTTGTCTGGTATTTCTTCGCTGGTGGTTCCTCTCTGAACGATAGTTTCTTTACCGTTCGCATTGTGGAAGTCCTTTTCTTGGAAGGTTCCCGGCATCGTGATTGGGCCCTTGCGGATGTCGTCATTGGGTTCAAGCTCTCCGGCCGCCACATTGTCTCTGTGGCCATGCTGTTTAGAGCCAGTATCTTCATTTGTAATGATGCTGACATGCTGTTCCTGGCCAACTTCTTGCTTCTCGCTGCCAATGTCTCGTTGCTCCACCTTCGTTTCGCCAGTAGAGGTACCGGTGTTGTCTTGGCCGATCCGTCCTTTCCTACCTTGCTTTCCGGTCTCCTGAACATTCCCCTTGTTAAGGTCTCCATTGTTCATTCCAGCAGCACTGATTGATGCTCCGCCGACAGCTCCATCGACAGCTCCCCGTCCAGACGATTCTTTGGTGTTTTGACCTTGGGTGAGAACTTTCTTGGCGCCGTTGGAATTGCCTTGGTTGACTTCATCGCGGGCGGATGAGCTTTTATCGACGATCTCATTGGCCTTGTTTCCCTGGCTGGTCGATTCTTTGGTGGTTTCACCTTTGGTCACGATTTCTTTGGCGCCATTGTAATTGCCTTCGTTAACTTCATCACGGATGGATGAACTCTTATCGAGGATTCCCTTGGCCTTGGCGAACATGTTGATGAGTGATAAATTGGTGCGATAATATATTAATAGGTGGACAGTAAAAATAAAAATAAAAGTCAAGTATTGTCGTTCAGTCGTGTTTGTTCAGCTTTCGAAAATAGTAAATGGAATATAAAACAATGGACCGAGCTATAACTAGGGCCCCGGGGGGACCTAAATAATATTAGCAACCGTCCTTCTCCTCATTGCATCATGGAATTATTTTGGTGATATCCACACGGCGTTCATATCTAGCAGTGGGTTCCAAGCACAAGTGAGCGTATGAGGGAACAGCTTGCTCGGTATTCAGCTGGGCCATCCCATGCCTTTGCTTGGATTCCAAGGCCCGCAGCTTGATCCAAAAAAAGCAATAGGGATATCGATATCTGGTACAGCATAATATCAGAAGTCGATGATGCTTAACCAGAGGAAGGAAGTGGAATAGGTGGATCTTCCAACAGCTGGTGTCCACTGCAGGTATTCACTCTTTGTATCTAATTTTTTTGTATTCTTCCAGTTGAGATGGCGTATTAGGATAGCCAGCAACCCTTCATTATTTTTGCGATTTCCGGTTCAACACCTGTAGACTCAGTTAGCTAACCTGACATCGTTCATCGCTTTGTGCCTTGCCATATCACAATATGTAAAATCTTTCCCAATCGGTCACGGGCTCGGAATTGAGTTCAATCGATGTCATGGCCATGTGTGGGGTAGAGACTCCGGTTGAACTCAATCGCCCTTAAGCGATTCATTTCTCCACTGTCTGACGATTAGACATGTCTGGATATCTGCTCTTTGTGTCCTGTATTTGTCTCAAGTGGATGTGTTGGTCATTGCAGTCAGCGACTGGCCAATATCACCTTAGTCATCGTACCTCCAATAACCTTAAATACACCTTGGAAGTCCTTCGATCCGTGGAATATTCAATCATTCGGCCAAACATGTTTGGGAAGTCATCATCTCCGGATGATCCGTTGATTTGGTGAGGTCATGCCTCTTTGTCTGATCACCTGCCGTTTATGTCATGACATCGAGCTCCGAGGCATAAGCCCAGGTCTGTAGCTTTTCGGTCTAAATGAGGATGCCGCAATCATTAGTAGGTGCTCATCTGGTAAATTGGAAATAGGCCAAACGAAAAAAAGGGAATTAAATGCAGTAAATGCCTTGCAGAAGACCCTAAGCCTATATTCTCAATACCACAAACTACCTTCTATGTAGTTTTCAGTGACGGTTTTTTGTTTTGTCCTACGAAATCCAAACAGCTCAAACTGAATTTTTCTGATTTCTGAGTGTGTTTTTTTATCTGTTTTCCCTCTTTTCCCAACATTTCCTTCCAGTCTCGTCATATCAAATGCATTATATATGCGCAAGATGCATAGAAATCTAGCTTTTCACCGCAATTATTTTGTGATCTGTAGGTTAGCTTCTAGTTATAACCTAAAAGGGGAGAAAGACACCAAGAGGACGTTCAATAAGACACTCGCATTGATATTATTTTTCATCTGGAACTAATATTTCGTCTTGGGCCAAATGAATCAAATTATCGAAATCCAACGTTGTCAAAGACAGGAGCCCACTATTCTTGTAGATAGTATAAAATTCTAGATCCTTGTGCTCCGCCCTTTTGACGTTCTCTATAATCAAAATTAAGACTCCACTAATTTCTATCAGCCCGCGCACGTTTCATGACCCCATAGCGCGACAAAAAGTTGCAAAGGCAAGATGAGAACTTGACTTATATACTACTAGTGAGTTCTGACACGTTTGCGGCAAAGATATACTTCGGTGTACAGCCACTGTGGGCTTTATATTGTCGTTGGTTGGCCAACAGAACGAACAGTGAAACTAACTGCATAGGGGCTCAAGTTCCACGATGGAAGGGCCCACCTGATCTGTTCTACACCTCCAACATCGGCCCTGGAGAGGCATGCATCTGATTAAAAGCAAGCTCTCAGTATACCCTAGACACTGTATCAAGTAAAGATAACCCGAAAAGCATGGAAAAAGAGGTAGAGTCCATTTCTGGATCGGAAATGCAATTCATGACAGCCTATGAAATGAGTCGAAAAGTGACTCTGAAGTCCAGCCTGCGAGGATTGCCCGTAGACAGCTCACATCCAGCCACAGCTTTCCATCCTCAGACCACCATGTGTGTTCATCCATTTCCGCGAATCAGCCTCCAAAAAAACCCATCCGTTGCCAGCAAAAAAAAAATTCAAGTGAAGACGAAGAAGCGTGATATCATCCGTACAAGTACCAGCCATATCTGGTATGCTTTCGTTCGTTTGGGCCGTGGTCGTGCCGTGGTCATGCGAAGGTTTTCATCGTAGAACTCGGCTAGCCGATCGCGGCTCAGGTGGTTGTTTTAACGACTTGAATAATCTATTGGCCGGGGTTGGGGTTCATCTGCATTTTGCGCCTGGTCAGCCTTTCTGTCCTCTATTCACGGTATTCGTATTGTGTGGTCGTGGATATTTGCAGAATGTGTTGTGCTTGGTTGTGTGTGGGTTGAGTCATTCGATATGTACCTTGCGCTTGCCACCGGTCATGGTAACGTTGACGAAACGGCGGGTGTAAAGAATACGCTTGTAGGCGCGACCCTTAGGGTTCTTCTTCTTCTCCTGGGGCTCGACCTGGATGCAACATCGTCGTTAAAAAGGCTGGGGGGATGGATGGCCACTGCGATCGTGTATCGAGTGTTGTTGGCTGGAAATCGAAGAGAACTCACCTTAGGAGTGGCAGCCTTGACCTTACCGGCACGGGCGAGAGAGCCGTGAACCTTACCCATGTTGGATGATTGACGTTGATAAACGGGAGATGGAAGTGGTTTGGTGATGAAGCGATTCTTGAATCTCGATTTGGGAGTGCAAAATTGGGAGTGCGACCTGTGTGGGGCGGCTTAGCGAGTGCTTTCGGTCCGGATTAACTCAGCCCGTGTGGGGTCATGTGATATGAGGTAAGCTGGTAATGTAAGCCGGGGTTAAGAGGTCTTGGCAACGGTTTCTCCGAGAGTGTAGAGTATGGCGATGGAACTTACCAAGTGTTAGCAATGGGAATCAAGAGGCAAATGAAAAAAAAAAATTTGTCCGGAAAGGGGCAAGCATATTCATAGATTCTACGGCAAGGTTCGTTCATAGCAAACAGCCCTATGGCTCAAAGTCGGGTCTCTTTTGGTATCACGAGAGTAATGTACAAGTTTCTCCCCAGCGCTATGCAATATTAGGTATTCCAAAATTCCATGGATGCAACACATCCAGCCCGCCTTTTGCATACACTTAAGCCCCCTTCGATTTTTCCTTGGCAGCAGCCTCTTCTCGTTCTCTCTTTCTTGCCAGATACCGCTCTTTAGCGCTGGACACATCTTTCTCGGTCTTGCGACTGCGACTCTTTTCGGCGATCTCCTTTTGCTTTGCAGCCTCAGTCTCTTCTTCTTGTCGCGCACGCTCCTCGTACTGGGTTGCGACCATGTCGGTCTGTCGAGCCCGCTGGGCACCACGACCACCCTGGTAACCAGCACCGGCACTTGGTCGTCCAGCGGTAGGTCTTGAAGCTCCTGATTTGGCGGCAGGTGCTTGAGATTTCGGTTTCGGTGCCACGTTGAGTCCTGCAGACAACAGCTGACGCTTGTCGACAACTTGGCCCTCATCATTCAGAACAACTCGAGTTCCATGAGAATTGAGATCCTGCGCTTTCTGGGCATCCGTCTTGTCCTCTTGATCCTCTGTCTCCCCGATGATCTCGCCTGCTTTGACGCGGCGGGCAGTTTCTTCCGCAGCCTTAATGAGCTCCTCGTGCCGTGCTTCTCCTCGCGACAGAACGTCCCGGTAGAATCCTATCATGCCAGAGCCGCCACTTTTTTTGCGTTGTTCTTCCTCTTCCTTTTCACGGCGTGCTTCCTCTTCCTCTGCCTTCCGCAGTTCCACTTGCTGCGCCTTATAGGCAGACGTGACAAATTTCTCCTTGTCCTCGAACTCATCACCTTCAGCTTCACGCTCCCTGGCTAGCTGGCGATCCTTAGCCCGCAGTTGATCTCGTTTCCGGATCTCTGCGCTCTGTAGCAAGTTCTGCATGTACTTGGGTGTTTCGCTCTTTGTTTCCTCTGAGGCCTTGGCGGGTTTGGCGTGCAAACTGTCGTATACTTCATCGTATGAGTAGATCAATGGGTCGATTTCTTCAGCCGCTTTTGCCTGCATGTTGCTACTGTGCATGGACGCGAGATTGGTGTATTTCTGGACAGGAGCGGTTGGCTTGTTCGACTTCGCCTGGTTCAATCCAAGATTCATTGCGCCTTGTTGCTCTTTTTCTTTTTCCTCGTCCTCATACTCATCATCTGCAAATAGCGAGTTCTTGCTGAGCGGTTTTGCTATTGGTTTGGGACCGCTCCCGAATTGAATTTTGCGTTTCGGTGGAGGCCCTGCGCTTGGCGGAGGTTTCTTTTTCGTAGCTGGCTCTTCTAGCCCTCCAATCGTTGAGACTTCAACTGCACCATCGCCAGTTTGCTGGTCTTCATCTTCAGAGTCGTCATCAAAAATGTTCTTTCTTTTCTGCGCGAGAGCATTCCCCGGTTTCATCGCCGCGAGACTTTTGTTCGGAAGGTTCAATCCGTAGGGGAGATTTGTGGGCATATCGGAACTTAAGTTTTGCAAGCAGATCAAGGGCTTTGTGTACCCGGGGTGATAGCAACGACACTGGTATGTTTGGCAGGAAGTGCTTGTCAAGGTCAAAGGTTGCGACCGCGATCGACCGTGATCGACCGCGATAAAGGCGTGGCTAGTTATCAGTTGATCACGTGCCGGCGGCTTTTGCGGGGAAATCAAAGAATTTGTTGGAAACATAGTACATACCAAACACAAGGCAATGTCGATTTGGACTTTAAGAGCTACATGTATATTGTTCAAATGGTCAAATTACATGTATATTCTGATCTGATTGTACTGCTGATATCATCAATACTCTGATCGTTCTTCACCTATCTTTCAGGTAAGTAGTAAAGAAATGATGACAAGGCTAGGAAGAGCGAGAAGGAGGAGGAGAGAGAGAGAGGGCCTTCTCTAATTCTTTTTTAACCGCTCCGCTGTAGGTACAACTTAGGGGATGTGTATATAGGTCTTGAGGGAGAGTGGGTGCGCCGGGAGTATCCATGCCACAAGTTGACATGCCCAAAAGGAGACCTACGTTGATGTAGAGTTGCCATCCCGGTAATGACTGCTTTAAGAATCAATTTGAGAAGTTCACAAATTACCCAGTACCCCTAATCTTGCATTCAAGAGTTTAGATAGGACAATAGATTGTTGCTTCAGAGCTTTCTCCTTAGGTTCATACGCTGCTTTTTCTTCGAGATAGAGTACCTAGCTTCGGGGTGTGCTCAAACTAGCAATATCCCTGGCATAGTTTCTTTCGATGGAGGCTTCAATGTCTTTGGCAGAGTCGACAGGATCCTCGAACCCATCTAAGAGGCCGTGGGCCGAAGGGTAGAAATTCGCTCCTTCCTCGCCATATCCGCTTTCCTTCTCTTGCCCTCTGTCTCTCTCCTCCTCCTCTTCTCCTCTCTTCCTCCTCCTCCTCCCCTCTCTTCCTCTCCTTCTCGCTCTTCCAGGACTTGTCATCATCTTTTTTACTACTTACCCGAAAGACAACCGCATCTTACCTTACGGGATTTGGTATCGTCAAGCGTCCTGGGCCGAATTAATACCTTCCAATTCTTCTCTGCTGCGTGTCATAGTAACCATCTCATCTTTCTCAGACGGTGTGCCTACGAAAAGGCAAGTGAGGTAAGAATGACTCGGTGACCGATTATCAAGAAGCTTCCATGAGGCTAATCAGGGCTGGTGTGATTTAGATCGGGCCGAAATGACAGTTAATTTAGAACTGGCCTTTTTCTCCGAACCAAATATCGGTTTTTCGTCGCTTGTTATCGGGGAGATCATGGACACAATATATCTTGACTGTTTCGATGCGGAATATGCAGTGGAAGCGATCGGATCATCAGCCCGGGGCATTCGGTCTATTCTGTCTCGTCTGCGAAGTACCCCGAATCTGGTGACAGCATACGCCAAGTTCACGAATGTACCACCAGATGTAGCAAATCTAAAACTCTCCAAGGGATGCCGCCAGCTCTACAACCCCGACACCCGGGTCATGATCGTTACCATACCAGGCAGACCGCATGATGCCATCGTGGGTGAGCTCCTGTCAGAATTCAATAGGGCTGTGTTATTTGCGAATTTGGGAAGAACGCTATGTTCCCTTACAACTGCAAGGGTAGAAGGAAACACTTGCTCCAAAGAACCGGATGGTTCATGGATCCCCGGACAACTTCCTCCAGGTCGAAACGACAAGTGGCCTACGATTGTTCTGGAGGTCGGAGTATCTGAGTCCAAAAAGAAGCTACGAGCGGATGCTGCCTGGTGGCTGGCTAACTCTCAGGGGCAAGTACATGTGATGATAATCATATCGGTCAATCGGACTGTGGCTGAGGTCACATTTGAAACCATTGTGCTTCGGCAGCCACCCACATCTATGCGCGGGGGTCGGCATCGATACGTGACAGAGGTCCGTCAGTCAATTGTGGTCTCCCGGCCACCAGGTGGCCCGAGTCAACCAATTACCACGGTGCCCGATACCTCACCACTCATCATTGCTTTGCAAGAGGTGCTCTGCCGTGCCCCTAACCCATCAGAGAGTGACCCAGTGATTCCTATTATCTCCCTCGAGCATATTGCGAGTGTCACATGGCGTTGGCAAGGGCTTTGAGTTTGTTTTGTGTTCTTCGTATTGTTTTTTTGTTTTTTTTTTTTTTCCGCTTATATCAATATGAGACCCAATATGTCATTAGCACTTGAACTGCGGAAACTGGCATTATTCCTTCAATCTTTCTGGATCTTCTTTCTAGACCTCACGATCCGTTTAAATCATCATAGGCCATAGCTTGATGCGTTGAGAAGTACTTCCCGGCAGCTTGTAGATTAAACTACGGAGTACATAGAAATATATAGTCACTGGTAAAGCGCAGATCGCGGATATTTCATCGACTTTACCCCGTTCCTCGGGTATTCTACGGTTTGCGGCTAAATCTTTCGCCCCAAAGACAGGAAGATATAGATATTTTATGCTAATATCTGTCAAGCGGAAAAGGCCACTTCCATTTATTCCTTTGACTATCTCCTAGGTAAAGTTGTATATTAAGTCCCCAACCACGCCCGGTGCTTATTTGGACTGGAATGGGCCCGACAAATCGGGTATCAAATTCAGTTATAGGTAACGATCAAAGATATATAATGAACGAGAATCCTGGTTAGACAAGATCACACCCAAATATCCTTTAAAGACCGCGCGAATGAATTTGAACTGCATATGTAGTTGAACAGAACTCAAATTATTACAATATCCTTCAACTTTCAACTTTCATCAAAAGTGTATACATCCTTCACCCGGACGAGCTCATTTCTTATCGACCACGTGATGGGGGCCGCTAGTAAACCCGCAATCCTTAGCTCCTCGGCCATGTTTGCGTCCATGTCAACCCTGAATAATCCCAATCTGCTCAAAATGTCCTACTACTTCACCATTCTATCACCCACTGACACACCTTTGTTCAACATCGCCTTTGGCACATCGAAGGGGGTGGTGATGGCATTGCTCGCTTCCGCTTTCCGGAGACAGCGCAGTACATGAACCAGTTCATCATCCACTCAAGTCTGGACATATTGGAAGAAGCGCAGTGGACCAATGGTGGAATGTAAGTCTAACAAGCTATCCCATATGTCAAATGGCTCCTGGGAACTGGTTCGAATCCACGAGGGGCATATAAACACAGAGGAAACCACCCTCAGCCCGCGCTCCATCCCACATCAAACCTCCAAACCTGACATTATCACAAAAGGTACCTGAAGCATATCGACACCTACCCGCCGGCAGCAGCCTACATCACGGCTTTCCTCACTCCAAGTGGCGCGCGCTTCCTCCTCCTCCACCAACCCCCGCATCTCCCCTCTTCAACCAGCACAAGCGGCAGCATTGGCTCCTCCTCACTGCTAGGCACAGCTGGATCTACCACACGCGCCTCCTCCAGCTCTATCGCCGCAAACCCGACCTCCCCACAGACCGAAGAGGCTGTGCGCCAGTTCATGAACGAGGTATACGAGAGCTATGTCAAGACGGCGATGAGCCCATTCTATAAGCAGGGAATGGAGATCAAGAGTCCTGTTTTCAGATCGCGGGTTACTGCTGCAGGGAAAAAATGGCTGTAGCCTGGCTGTTTCTTGGGAGTTCTAAGTTCATGAGCGTGGCGTTTTTAGGGCATGTATTCTCTTGGGAGTTGGCTCTTTCTCTGTGTCTATTGCATTATTTTGACTTGCTCTGCATAATAGAGAAACGTCTACAGTCAAGGAGAAGGTCAATAATCTAGCGTGTAGTGTAATACAAACAAAAGTGTGCTTGTTATTTCGGATTTAACACGACAAACTGAACTAGAAGTGCAATGGCTATTGTCCTGCACCTAAAGTTGCTGGCAGAAAATGACGCTATCTGGGATCAATGAAGTCCCTGGCCCGCTAAAATCCAACAAAAGAAGAGATTCGAAAAAGAAAGCAACGAGTATGCGCACTGCAGTATCTCAGCAGAAAAGAGATAACTCCAGTCCCAAACGCCCAGGAAATCCCTTCCAATCCTAGCGTCCATAGCCAACCGGCTAAAAGAAATAGTACATACTTAGACGGTCATCTGAGGAGCCAGCTTCTTCATGGTGACGGTTTTGAAATTATCAACAGCGTGAATGACGTCTTCCAACTTGGCAACAGTTCCAAAAATTCCGCCTTCCATCTTGATCGATTGTATAGTGCTCATATGTAGCGATGGCTCGGCGGCTGCAGTGCCATCATCTAAGACGACACAATCAAAGCCACGGTCGTTAGCTTCGCGCATGGTCGTCGAGACGCAGACATCAGTGGTCACACCCGCAATGACGAGGTTTTTCACTCCTTTGTTGCGAAGGAGGAGCTCAAAATCGGTGTGTGCAAAGGCACCTCGGCCGGGCTTGTCGATGACCGGCTCACCGGGAAGAGGATACAATTCGTCAACAGTGTCGTGGCCCAGTTCGCCACGGATAAGTAGGCGGCCCATGGGACCAGGGGAACCGATACCCAAGCCGGATGCATTGTTACGGGATCGGTATGCCTCACGACTTGAGAGAGTAGATAGATCGGGTCGGTGTCCTGATATGAATTAGTAAAAGCATACTAAGAGCCAAGCACGAGACACTAGGTACCCTCGCGAGTATGGTAGACTGGGAAGCCCCCAGAGCGGAAAGCATGAAGCAATCTTTGCAAGGGAGGAATCAAAGCCTGTGCGCTAGAAATATCATAACCCTGATATCCCATGTATCCTTCGGGCAAACAGACTAGGACAAAGTCAGCCAGTTGGTTCACTGATAGTGGTAATAGTCCGAAATACTCACAGTCCTTTTGCATGTCAATTATCACAAGCGCAGTGGTGTATGGGGTGAATGAAGCATCATGGGGCCAATCATATGGAGTGGCTGGTAGCTGGCCCTTGCGGACCTTGTGATGAGGCACCTGCCGCGGCTTCTCGATAATAGGACCATGATTGTGCGTCGCATTTAGCACTGTCAGGGTCCAGATACCCGGAGAACCGGCTGCGACTAGCATGAAAGGACAATCCATCAACCGCGAGGTTCTGCGGCGCTTGCGCGTTTCCTCAGTCAGACCGTTCCGTGGCCGATAGTGGCCGCCACGATCACAACGCAGCCACACCTTAGCGGTGCGGCCAGGTTTCTTCTCCGTGGGCGTGCTTGACGACTTGACAACCACATTGTAGCCATGTTCCTTGCCATGGTCCTGAACTGCGGCGAGAAGAGATGCCCTGTAGACATAAAGTGTTGATATTGGTCCCACTAAGCAAGGGGCGATGGGATGAGATCTTACTTGTCAGGGTATGTCCCCTCTGGAGGCGGAACTAATTGCATTGCCAGTTCGGGGATGTCTTGAAGGTCGCTGGGCGCATCGTCAAGGTTGAGATCGGTTGAGTCTGCCATGGTGATAGATCGGGCTGGACCTTAGCCTCACTGAACGGGATCTACCTAAGGGGCGGAAACTGTAAGTTCAGATGTCATACCATCATCCCACGTTTAGCCGATGCGCCTCAACACTGGGATAGATAGATAGAGCTTGCGAATAATCGGGGGTAAACAAGTGCGTGGAAGCAAACAGGATGATCAGCGATCTTAAAAACAACGTGCGTGGGCATAACATCCAGGGTAGTGTCTGGAGGCAACAAACACTTGTGCTTGGAGCTTGAAGGGTCACAGAGAGTTCTAGTGCAAATATTGAAAGGTAGACAAAGCTACTTACCTCTCCGACTTGATTGCCCTAGAGACCTAAAGACTGGAGACTGGCGACTGCTGAGTCCAGATCACGGGGCTGAGGTCGATCAGGATCACTTTCAGCTCCAATGAGGCTTAGCTTCGTGTTAGTGCCTTAATGCCTGAGGCAAACTGTTTCTGCCTTGATGTACCAAAAGAGCGGTGGGTGGCTGAGCCCAGATCTGCTACATGAGGACTAGCGCATCTACCGGCCCCTGACGACCGCAACAACAACATCGGTTTCTCCCAGCCCGATCTAATCGAACCCGCTTTTCGACACGAGGCGGGTCGAAGGTAACCAAGCTTTGCACATCTTAGTTCGCCACTTCGATCTTCTCTTCCTCTCTCTGTAGAGGGACAAACTACTAGGTACCGCAATCAATCCCTTGCGTCACCGCCTCGGCGAGGGGCTCTTATCAAAACGCACGGTTGTTGACATCGGGCCACCACACAACCTATGAGTCTTTGAGAGGGGCTGGAACGATCTGCAGGGCAAGACAGCCTGGTGTACAGTCAGTACTGACTTTCGCCAATTTTGGACGACACTCGTCGTCCAGACGTCTTCTTTGCGACCGGTCCTCTGCCCAACGCGAGAAGATGCCGGCCGTCGATGAGCCATCTTCCGAACGGAAGCATACGAGCAGTTCTTACAGAGATGAACTGGCTCATTACAAAGCTCAGTATGAACAACTGGAGGCGGAGCTTGCGGACTTTCAGTCCTCCAGCCGGGAGCTGGAGGCTGAGATGGAGAAGGACATTGAAGCTTCGGAAAAGCGGGAGCGGCAACTGAAGGAAAAGCTCGACACAATGCGATATGAAGTCGACGAGTGGAAGGTAAGGGATCATGCTCATTGCTCACGATTGTGCAGGTGCTAACATTGCGCTGGCAGACTAAATACAAGCAGTCGAAAACCGAAGGCAACGCTGTGCAGAACAACCTTCAGAAAGAAATCACCACACTTCGAGACGCGAACCGCACTTTGCAGCTCAAGCTTCGAGATATTGAAGTTGCTAATGATGACTATGAGCGCCAAGCCCGGAACACCACCTCGTCCCTGGAGGACATGGAGTCCAAATACAACATCGGCATTGAGCGCGGGGTCTTGCTAGAGGAGGAAATGAGAAATGGGGAGCAAGAGCGGGAGCAGCTGCGCATCGATAACCAACGACTCCGAGACGAGCTGTCAGATCTGAAGATTGAAGCCGAGATCATCCAAGAGAAGCTTCGAAATACCGAAGGGCATGGGTTGCGTCGCCGCAAGCCCACTCCTTTGTACCATCGCAGCCCGGCAACTCCGCAGAGTGTGGAGATCTTTGACCGTTCACCTGGCACCGCTACATCTTCCCCAGTATTTGCCACGCCTCCCGCTAAATCATCCCTTGCGTCGTCTACCGCTACCCCACCTTCACCCCCTATCTCCGAGTCGTCTGTGAACATTCGCAAGTCGATTAACCCGTACGCAAACTCCACGCCAACATTCCCTCGACAGAGAGCTGGTGGCGCGGATCCGGTGAACTCTAGAACCCTTCACGCTCGGACTCAACCGCGCACCACTCATTCACGAACCCCATCTCTCGCCTACAGCAATGGCGCATATAGCACCAGCAATGGTAATAATGCCAATGCCAATGCCAATAGTCGGCCCACTCCCTCCATGTCGATTTCGTCTCGCAACAGTTTGACGAGAATGAACACTTCGCGCCCACCGGGGCTTCCCAAGTCTGGCTCACTGTTCCAAATCCGTGGCCTGATTGGTAAGATGCAGAAGCTCGAAGAGCGCGTTCAATCAGCCAAATCGCGACTTCCCGCCCCATCTGACACCTCCTCTCGCGGATCCCCTCGCTCTGGATCCGTAATCAGCGACACCCCGATCGTTCCCTCGTCGATCACTGTTCGGAGGAATTCTCGCAAGCGGCTGAGTAACAGTAGCCTTGGTTCTTCAGCCCGAGATAGTGAAAGCACCCCATCTTACCCTCCACCGGGTCATCAGTCATTCGGACGGACAGGCGAGAGTCGCCCGAGCAGCCGAACTAGTTTCTCTAGCCGCGGCTCCTTCAGCCAGAGCGTGCACTCGGGTGTCCAAGTAAATGCCCGGCCCGAAAGTTGTTCGAGTCGTCCTGGGGCCAAAACGCCACTGGGTCACTACTCGACAAACCCTATGACCGAAGCCCGGCGGCCTCGGTCATCTCTCAGCAATCATGCCGGCCAACTCCCTAACATCGCTGGCATGTCTCTTATCGATGAGGACCAAGATATTGCCACGCCAACAGTTCCCCACATCTCCCAGGAGTTTCAACGCCCATCCGTGACTACGACCCCGACCCCCATAGTGAAGAAGCGAACCATCAGCGGCATCCCAGCTCCCCGAAGCTTCAAGGCTAGCATCGGACCTGGTACCATGCCGCCGCCAAACAGGAAGACCCAAGTCAGCGACTTGGGAGAGACGTTTTAATTCCTCTCTTCGCCACTAGTATTTATGGAATTTGCATGGGGGTTTAGTGACTGGGTGGTTTGTGCTAGGGTTATTTTTCAACGTTTGTTTTACAGACTTCTAAGATTGACTTTGATCGACTGCATTCCGCAAGAGGAGTGAGGGTGCAGACCGCCCTGGTTACATCCCTTCCTGTACAGTTCTGCATGTTGACCGGTCTCGGACCAGCCAGGTCTGGTTCATTTGTGCGATATGGCCCCCGGTGGATTCTGGGGACGTTCTAAGCTGTGTCTCAGCGATTGTCTTTTCATTTAAGATCGAATAATACCCATGATGTTATGCTCCATATTATAAATTGTATGTACAACATAGGTTGACCGTCCATTTTGGCGTAGTTGAGTTGTGGCCCAGATCCATGGCTCTGGGGAGAATGGGTTGAGTTGGGATATGGTGGTCACGAATATGATTGGTCTACGAGCATTTTTCTGTACGCAAGTTGCACCAAACCCTGGAAGGTTGATCGTGTTGAATGATGGAAGGTGGCCGAATTGGGATAGCGTGTACGCCATTCTCAGATTGGCAATGACGTGGAGCATATTTTTGAATCTAGATTATCGATCTCTATATAGTACTCCGTACTCCGTATGGAGTACGGAGTTCCGTATATGTACTCCGTATATGTATTCCGTATCGTTTAAACAGTCTGACCTTGGAGTTCCCAAGTTTGAGTAATTCCATTGCTTGAATCTTGAATGATTAAAAATTATTCCGAAGCTGCTGACCAAACTGGGGTAGTATCAACATAGGATATGTATAGTTACATACCGGTAGTGAACTAGCAGTGAATCCTTTTAATACTACCTAATAGTGAAGCCTGGATTGGTCTCTTCAACATTTAATTCTTTATTTTCTAAAACAAAAAGAAAATCAAATCAAAAACAAATCAAAAGTCGGCAGAAGTGGTGAGCAACAGATTATAGTGGAACCCGGCCCAACAAAGCCAGGGAGTTGGGGGAGCCCGTTCCTGGGAAGGTACCTTTCCATAGTTAACAGTATGGGGAGGTACATGTGTCCTCGGCCATTCAAGGGAATCAATCACAGCCAGTTGGGATCATCTCCACTTGGGTGGGACCTCCAGAAAATCATCTTCTCAGCAATTTTCCCCCCGTGGACTTTTTATGATTGAACTTGAGTTCTGAATCTCTTCAATTCCTATATTCAATTTTACATAGAATTCCTTGTTCGGGGTTTGGTGGTTCCCGGTAAGTACTGCTACCCTTTCCCTATCCGGTTGCAGGCCAATTCCGCATTCGACGCGATCTTTCTTCAGGCCCCGAGATCTTGAACTACACATGCTGACTTGGCCTTTCTTCCCCCCAGAGCTTACTTCTGCCGATTATCTTACTCTTCTTCTCCCCCTCTCTCTACCTTACCTTTTTCTACGCACGTCCACCACTCGGGCTCTTTCCGCCACTCCCAGCATTGTACATTACCGACTTTTTAATCAGCGCTGTTGCATCCCGCGCGAAAAGCAGAATCTCAATTCCTATACGGGAATCTGACCTGTGATTATCAGCATCATGAGTATCACAAATGGCAACGGCTCGACTGTCAGCAAACAGGACATTCCCTCACATTTCATCGGTGGCAACGCTCTTGAATCAGCACCTCCTAGCGCCGTGAAAGATTTCGTGGCAGCCCACGAAGGTCACTCCGTTATCACATCGGTACGTGAGAAATAAAAAGAACAACCGTGGTTGCGAGGGGAAACAACTGGGAAATTGACCGTGAGGCTGACTTGTTCCTTAGGTGCTTATTGCCAACAATGGTATCGCCGCCGTGAAAGAGATTCGCTCGGTGCGGAAATGGGCTTACGAGACCTTCGGCAACGAGCGGGCTATTCAATTTACCGTGATGGCCACGCCCGAAGATTTGACCGCCAACGCCGACTATATTCGCATGGCCGACCAATACGTCGAGGTTCCCGGTGGAACCAATAATAATAATTATGCCAACGTCGAGTTGATTGTCGATGTTGCGGAGCGGATGGATGTTCACGCCGTGTGGGCAGGATGGTAAGTGGCTTGGAGATACCGAGAAGAACGAGAGAAGAAAATCAGAAACGAAATACTGACGCTCATTGTGTAGGGGTCACGCCTCTGAAAACCCTCGGTTACCCGAATCTCTCGCTGCGTCACCGAAGAAGATTATCTTCATTGGACCCCCAGCTTCAGCCATGCG